CATTGAGGCGAATTTTACAAGATAGAAGCGTGTAGAAGGAAGTATTTATAACTGATATGCAGTAACCCAAAATGATCTGATTCATAAATCCAATCGGATCACACTAAATATGATCCAAAAAAAATTATAAATAGTCTGCCTCGACTGCAGGAACTTGGTTGAAACTTCCACAATGCCTTTATCAACTACTCGAATAGATAGTGACACACTTGTAAAACTTTATAATAAAAATGGTATAAAAACAACTGATATAACAAAAATTAATCAAAAAAAGTATGAACGCAAGGTCAAAAAAGCAAAGTTAAATGCTCGTTCAGGTTAGTAAATGCTATTGTTACTAGGAATTTTTTTAAGCCAAATATATCAATTTTGGGTATTTTATAAACTTGCCCTACTATCTTTTATGACATTCATGACTAGAGGTTGGAACCGGTTTTAATAATTCGGGTTTATCACTTGAATTTTGTGATATTTTAGAATTTAATCCAATTAAATTTTAATCAATTCTAAAATATCACAAAATTCACGTGATAAACCCGAATTATTAAAACCGGCTCCAACCTCTATTCATGATCATTACGATTATAAGTAAAACTTTCCCAAATCATTTTAATAATTTTCTAATAAATGTCCCGTTTTAGTAAAACGTTACAAGTTCATTTTGGGCATTGTATTGTTTTATCATTGCCTTTATTTGAGGAATTGGTGCCGCAGCGGCTGAAGTTGATTAAAATGTTTCATATTAACAAGTTTTATAAAATTATCAGAAAATATGATTTTTTTAAAAAAAGTTATCTAATTATTTTTTTTTATGTAAAAAAAAAAAAATCAGAACTTGACATATTTGAATGGTCCAAATTTGGTTATGCCAACAATAATTATTGGATTTCACCATCTGCTGATAAACTTTCTCGAATCGATGAATCACAAGTTTCTCGAGAAGAATTCATCGAGAAATATGAAGTTCCTGGTTTACCTGTTGTCATTACTGGTTGTTCGAAAGCCTGGACCGCAGAAATAAAATGGAATAAAGAGGTTAGTCAATAATATAAAGTCCTTTATAATCTATGATTCCGTTTATTAAAAAAATAAAAATAAATCATATTTTAATAGGAACTTTTGCGAAATTACGCTCGTCACAAATTCAAAATCGGTGAGGATGACAAAAGAAATCCTGTACACATGACTTTTAAATATTATATGCACTATTTAGAAACAGAAGGTTTAAAAGATGATAGTCCATTGTATATTTTTGATTCATCTTTTGGAAGACGTGGGAAATCTAAGAAAACCAGTGTTGAAGAGCCTAAAAGAAAAGATTTGAATCCGAAATCTAGAGAATGTCTGTTGAAAGATTACAAGGTTCCTACTTATTTCGACGATGATCTCTTTCGTTTTACAAGTGAAAGGCGTAGACCTCCATACCGCTGGTTTGTACTTGGTGGAGAAAGAAGTGGAACTGGGTAAAATAACTCTTACAATTGTTATTTAAAGAACCTTCAATGGTCAAAAGATTTTTCAAGCAATATATTTTTTTCTATAGAATTCATATTGACCCACTGGGAACTTCTGCGTGGAATACTTTGTTAGTTGGACATAAACGTTGGTGCCTTTTCCCACCATCCACATCTCGCAGATTGATTGATCCTCCAATGAAACAGAAAGATCGTGAATCGGTAACTTGGTTTACCTGTGTACTCCCTAAACTACTTGAAGTCCAAGAGGAAAATAGCAAAAGCCTTGCTGAAGAATACGGAATGGTTGAAGTGTTACAACGACCCGGTGAAACCATGTTTGTACCGGGTGGATGGTATCACGTGGTAATGAATTTAGGTAAAATAATATTTTACTAATATTATAGGATAATTAGTGTTCCTATCAACCTGAACTGAACTGAACTTTGGTTAGGTTCAGGTTCAGGTTTAGTTCAATAGTGAACTGAATTTGAACTTTTTTAAAAAAAAGTTCAGTTCAAATTCAGTATTGAACTTTTAATTCAAGTTTAGGTTCAGTTCAGGTTCATAAATTTTAAGTTCAGTTCAGGTTCAGGTTCAATGATCTGCAAAATTTGAAGTTCAGTTCAGGTTCAATGAATCTAGTTCATGAATCTGAACTGAACTGAACTGAATCTAGGAACACTACCTAGTATCTGCTTATAAATACTCTATTTAAACACTCTGATAGCTCTATAAACCTTAATTTTAATCTAATGTTTAATCTATACTAATCTTATATTATATTTTTTTAAGAGTTATTCAGACTAATTTGTATCTCAAATTATTTTAATAAGACAAGATCCTATCACAAAATACTCTATTAAAGTTCTATTCAAAGAAAAGCTTGCAGATAACTTTAACTATACTTATACTATATTTTAATTAAATTAGTAAAATCTGGTGATCTTAGTATAGTAGTTAAGTTATTAGACTATCATATAAATAGTCTAGAGTTTAAATTCTACTATTAACAGAATTGAATAATTACTTAGACCTTTATATCTAACTTACAGTAAATTCTATCTGTTTCTAGAGTTATAACTTTGTAAATCATATTGTATTAATATTAATCAAATATTAGAAGTATAATAGATTACTTAAGAAATGTAATATTATATAAATAAATCTTAATAGAATTTATGAGTAGAAGATCTGTATAGTAGAAATCCTGAGTTAAATAAAGTAGTACAGATTTCAATAATCATACCAGTTAGTATTTGATCTAGAAAAGAAAATTTGTATATAAAAAAATTGACAAAATAGATATGAGTAAGTCTATTATATCTGAATAGTATAAGAACTAAGGTTATATAACAATAATAACTTAGCTTAGTAGCTAACTAGATTTGAAAGAATCTGTCTCAAATAATATCTGAAAATACAGATGACTAACTCAGTAGAAAGCTACAGTAAAAACTAAATTTGTACAAACATTAAACAAGAATATATACAAACTAGATTAGAATATAGTATAGCATAATTAAGTTCTATAGTACTTATCAATTAAGGAGTTAGTAATAGGATACCTTGAAATAGAGTTTAGGTTTTAAATTATAAAGTTTGTGAACATATATTAGCTCTGTTAATATTTTTTAAAAATAGAAGTAGTATATAGTTAGCCAAATTTAAGTAAATAAGAATAGTATTCAGATAAAATAGCATATAGCTAGAGAGTTTAAATAGAAAATTTTTAAATAAATTTCAGATATAGTAGCTAGTATAAAACCTTTAGATAGACTATTTAAATTAGATAATCTAAAATTGTACATATAGTTAGTTATACTCTTATATATGTAATTATTTCTTACTATCTATACTAATAAAAATTCAGCTAATATCTTTTGTATAAAGTAAAAAAAAAAAAAAAAAAAAAAAAAAAAAAATTAAGCTAGCATATACTCTTATAAATATTCATACAAATCTAGTTTTTAAAAGGTCTAGTGATCTAGTATAGTAGTTAGATTATCAAACTGCTATGTAATAGATTTAAAATTTAAATTCTACTATCGATAAATTTGAATAATTTCTTAGATTTTATAATATGTTACAGTAAACTCTGTTTATTTCTAAGAGTATATCTCTATAAATTGAGTTGCATTAAATCAATTAGAACTTAAAAGTATAATATAACATTATACAAATAAATCTTAATAGAATATATAGGCAAAAGATCTGTATAATAGAAATTTTGAGTCAGTAAAATAGACAGCTTTCTGACAGAACTATATCAGTTAAAGTTTGATTTGAGAAGAAAACTTAGTTTAATAAAGATAGAAGGTTTCAAAGTTTCTGAACAAAAGGTAACTAGGACTAGCTGAATACTAAAAAAAAACTAGATTAATTAACTAGTAGAGAATCATAGTAGAATCTAAAGTTGTATAAATATTTATAAGAGTTTAAATTAGATAAATTCATAAAATAGATACAGATCACTCTAGTAAGTTTTCTTTGAAGTTAATTAGCTCTGCAATACTAGCAATGTATTTAGTATAATGTATCTTGAAAGAACCTAACTATTTTGAATAAATAGATTTGTAATAAGCTAGCTAGCTTAAGTAGTTAGATATTATGATAATATTAGATTAAATCTATATAGTTTAATAAATAGAGTATTTAAATAGATAATTTATAGATAAGTTACAGATATGATAGCATAGTGTAGAACTAATCAGATAGTTTAATATCTATGTAGTAAACTACTTAAAATAGACAATAACTAAAGTTATATATATAGCTTATTATATACTCTTTATGTAATTACAAACAGTAGAAATTATTAATATATAATCCTGTTTGCAATACTAATAAAATTCTTTTAACAATATAAGTCACCTTTAACAAAAAAAAAAAAAAAAAAAAAAAAAAAAAAAACAAATCTAGTTCTTACTATAGCTCTTTATCAGATTAGTTTTCTATACTTATAAATATTTTATATAACAAATTTTTCTAAATTTAGTTAGCTACTAAGCTAAGTTTATATTACTATTATTTTATATAATAAACTTACTTATATCTACTCAATTTGTATTTTTCATATACAGATTTTTTTACTGAATTAAGTATTAACTAATATGACTATTAAAATCTGTATTATTTTATCTAACTTAAGATTTCTACTATGCAGATTTCTTGATATAGATTCTATTATATAATATTATATCATATTACTAATATTTAATTAATATTAGTATAATGTAATTTACAAGGTTATAACTGCTAAAAATAAATAAATTTAGCATAAATTAAATACAAAGATTTGAGTAATTATTCAAATTTATTAATAGTAGAATTTTTTTTTTTTTTTTTTTTACTTTATACAAATGTCATCAGCTAACTTTATTAATTTCATAAATTTCAGAAGTAATACATATTGTGAGAGTACAACTAGCTACACGTACAATTTTAGGTTGTCTATTTTAAGTAGTCTGCTTGAAGGTTCTATACTAGCTGCCATATCTGAAATCTCTTAGAAGATTCTCTATTTAAACTCTCTGGCTCTATCCCACTTACTGCAAGTATTACTCTTTTAAAGTTAACCCAAACCTCATACTACTTCTCATTAGGAGGCACCCAAGCTGACATTAGTTGCAACTTTACTATTATGGGCTCAGGTCTTATCTGAATAAGTCCCTCTTCAATGCCCCCCTAACAGATAGGTATCATGATACCTAACTATGCTATGCTATATTCCTATTCTAGCTTGTATATACCCTTATTCGATGTTCATACAAACTTAGCTTCAGCTGTGGCCCTCCACTAGTTTAAATTTCTGTATCCTTCTGAATGTTTCATAAGAAAGATCCTCCCAATCTAGTTAGCCACCAAGCCAAGTTGGTGTTGCTATAACACCTAATATCACGGGCTTACTCGTACCCACTCGATCTATATCTTCGTACTCAGAAATCTTTGTCAGATCAAGCGTTAACTGGCATGACTATTGAAATCCATACTACTTTACCTAACTTGAGATTTCTACTATGCAGGTCCTCTGCCTGTAGATCCTATTTCAATTTATTCGTGTAATACAACTCAAACATTCTGTTACACTTCTAATATCTGGACAATATTGGTGCAATATAATTTATAGAGTTACAACCCTAGAAACGAAAAGAGTTTACTATAAGTTGGATATAAGGTTTGAGTAATTATTCAAAGTGTTGATAGAAGGATTTGAACTCCAAACCTATTGCATAGTGGTCTGACAACCTATTCACTACACTAGATCGCCAGACCTTAATAGTAGAATTTAAATACTAGATCTTTTATATAGTAGTCTAATAATTTAACTACTATATAAAGATTATTAAACCTATAAATTATTATTTAATTTTTTAAAACTTAATTTATTTTTAACAAAATAACAAATTTATATTTTTTAAATTATATTACAAGCAAAATTGTCCATACTAAAAATAATTTTTAATATTATATAAAAAATTTTTTTTTATTTTTTATTTTTAAAGTAGCTTATATTGCTAAATAAATTTGATTAGTTTGATATATAAGGCTATATATAGGTAATCTCTATAGTTTGTAATTATATGAAGAATATATAACAAGTTATATATATAATTTTAGTTATTATCTAATTTAAGTAGTTTACAATACAGATATTAGACTACCTGTTAGTACTATACTATTTTACTATATCTATAATCTTTCTGTGAGTTACTTATTTAAATACTTCATTTAACTAATCTATACTATTATAAACTAATATTACTATAATAGAAATCTAAAAATCAACTCTCTCTGATGATCATTTGAACTAACTTTTTAAGAAGCTAAACTATAGAAAAATGATATAGTTAATATATTAACCTTCAAAAAAAACCTTTCTAGAATACTATATTTGTATAGTTGGATATTAAAATAGAGTTAAAAAAGAAGTCACAGCTTTGTAGAATAGTTTAAAGCATTTTGAAACTATAGAAGAAGTAGTCACAAAAGCTAAAATTTTTTTTCAAGTAAATAACAAAGTTAGATATATTAGTTCTATACAACTGTATAACCTATAAGAAACATCTGCAAAGATTCAAAGACTTACAAAAGCTACAAAGTTAGTTTATCTCACACTTTTACTTTTCTTTGAAAATTTTGTAAAAAGTGAGTATTTTAGTTTATCCTCTTCTAAAGATCAATATATAAAACTTCCAAAACAGTTAGCAGTATTTACTTCTTAAATAGATTTGTTGATAACTTAAATCAGAAACAAAATAGTAATACAAATATAACTATATACATACTTTGAAGATATTAGAATTTCAAAATACTGCTTCTAAACTAACTAGTAACTTATACTGATCCTTTATAATCAAGCTAAAGTTTTTTCTTTTCTACATAGTTTTTTGATAAAT